GGCGATTATCTTTCAGCTGGCAACAAGTTATTTAACCCCAACTGGTGCAATGACTTGCTTCTCATTTCCTAAACAATCATCTGGAAAGACACATCCCGTGGTCGTGGAAAAGATGTTATTCTGTTTGAGAAGGGTCAAGAAGGGCCTGCATCAAGCAGAGAAAACCTCTAAAGAGATGCAGAAACTACTAACATTGGGTTAAGAACTGTCCAACGCATTATTAAAAACTGGAAGGATAGTGGGGACCCATCATCTTCAAGGAAGAAATGTGGCCGGAAAGAAATCCTGAATGATGGTGATCGGCGATCACTTAAAGGTGCGGTGAGATCAAATGGAAGAAAAACAACAGTAGAACTGAGGGCTATGTTTAATACTGACAGTAAGAGCATTTCCACACGCACAATGCAAAGGGAACTGAAGGGATTGGGACTGAACAGCTGTGTAGCCGTAAGAAAACCACTAATCAGTGAAAAAAAGGCTTCAGTTTGCGAGAGAGCATAAAGATTGGACTGTGGAGCAATGGAAGAAGGTCATGTGGTCTGATGAGTCCAGATTGTTCCAGAGTGATGGGCCAATCAGGGTAAGAAGAGAGGCAGGTGAAGTGATGCCATGCCTAGTGCCTACTGTACAAGCCTGTGGGGGCGGGTTATGATCTGGGGTTCCTGCAGGTGCTCAGGTCTAGGTTCAGCAACAGTATTTGCTCAAAGAATGAGGTCAACTGCTGAATATACTGAATGACCAGGTTATTCCATCAATGGACTTTTTCTTCCCTGATGGCACAGGCATATTCCAAGATGACAATGCCAGGATTCATCGGGCTCAGATTGTGAAAGACTGGTTCAGGGAGCATGACTCATCATTTTCACACATGGATTGGCCCCCACAGAGTCCAGACCTCAAACCCATTGAGAATCTTTGGGATGTGCTAGAGAGGGCTTTGCTCAGCGGTCAGACTCTACCATCATCAATGCAAGATCTTAGTGCAACACTGGATGGAAATAAATCTTTTGACATTGCAGAAGCTTATCGAAACAACGCCACAGCGAATGCGTGCCGTAATCAAAGATAAAGGCGGTCCAACAAAGTATTAGAGTTGGTGACCTTTTTTTTGGTGGCAACTTTTTTTTTTTTGGCCAGGCAGTGTAGCTTTCATAGAAACACCTAAAATCTAACAGCCTCAGCAACCATCGGTGGAGATCAATGATGACTTTAAAGGAATAGTACACCCAAAACATGATTAGCCTTCATTTTCTACTCACCCCCATGCTGAACAACA